CACACACACACAGTGCTGTGTGAATGTGCACTGACCAGAAAAATGTGCTAAACCGACCACATATAAAGGTCAAACCCAATACTTAATTCTTACGGTTAGTTAACATGTAACACACATTTAGTCTTTTCATTTGTGCAAGTTACATTTTGTTGACAGAACAACATTCCTGAAACAATCCATTATGACCTTGAAAATCAGTTTTTTTAAAAGCTGGTCTGCGACAATGCAACATTTCCAAATGGAATTTCGCTGGTCACTTAGAAACAGATCAGCTTAATCTTGCTGAAGGTTTACTGGGAATAGAAAAAAACTTGCTTCTCTTGTTCTGTTATGACATTTCATCCTAACCAGAGCTCATCAAGTAAACCATATTAGACCTGTCATTTCACACCTCTGACCTTTCTTTTAAGTTGTGCTGCTCGCTAACCCACCTGTCAGACATGTAGGTGAGAAGAGATGTTTCATGAGCTTATTTAGTGATTTATTAATTGTGATCAGAGACAAAACATGGTTCCTTGTCACAATAAGGCCTCACATTAGTTTATACTCACTGGCAGTGTGCCATCATTTCGTCGGTGGAAGCGGATCTCCTCTGCAGAGAGGCCCTTGTGGGGAGAATATCCAGCATCTGTCAGCCCTGCCTGGTGTTCAAACCTCTGGATGTTCTCTTGGGTTTGCTCTGAGTGAACATGGGCGAACAGTGCAGTCAATGTTGAGCTCCTTTTAGTACCACGGATGCTCGTAAGACTGATAACTGTTAGCCAATTTGGACAATCTTTGTATATGATCCTGCATATGTGCATAATTCTGTGGCATGTACTGTAGAAAGTGTCTCAATATGTATCAGAATGAGAATAAAAGTTGATTCATGAAGTTACTCAGCTGTTTTTGTTGACTTACTGATCATTAGTGAACTCATTAAAGAGGTGGCTTTGGCTTTCACCACAGGCACTGGGGACTTGGCTGGCGATGGTACCTCAAAAGTCAGCGGCTTCCCACTGCTCTCACCTTCCTGTTCACACAAGTTTATGCTTTTAGAATTAACAAACCGATTACATCACAGTCAGATGAGGAAATCAAAAGTGTCCAGGTATGCATCCAACCCTCAGGAACAAGTTACACATAAACAGATACAAAGAACGTTTTGTTCAGACAACCGGTTCAAAACAATGAAGTTGAGAAAGTAACAGCAAACAGGGAAGCACCTCTGCAGTGTTCCTGAACCTGTGCTGCGGGATGACGGGGTCTTTCCACAAGATGTTGACAGTCATGTCTGGAGGGGGTGAGTGCATGGGGCCATCCATGTGCTCATCGTAGCTGATATTGCGTCGGGCCATTGCGATGGGAGACGACAAGGCACCGAAGAGTGCGGACGAAGTGCCGGACTCGAGTGCTGCAGAATGGGAGTAAAGAAGACACGTTAGAGCTCCATTTTAATCTGCATGATACCGAATCACGTCTACATCATCTGACAAACTTAAATTACTGCATTACCTGGAATGTCTCCCTGTCTTGAGGCCATTTTGACACCAGATCAGAGGGGCTAACCACAGTGGACTCTGACAGCGTGGAGGTTCTCCCTTCGCTCAGCTTGCCGTTAAACCTGAGCATGTCATCACATGACATCACACAGTGTCATTAGGCTGCCAGAAAGGCCTGTTCCCACTGACAAAAAGTATGTATACAACAAGACGGCAGAGACAGACTTGAAGAAAGACGTAGGCTAATAAATGTACTGTATGCATGCTTTTATTATCCTAATCACAGTTAAGTCAGAGAATAAACACATCAGAGGTGTATTTACTGTGCACAGTGTCCTGTTCCTGACATGCTCCAAATAGAACCACAGGGTCTGGTTACAGCAGTGTCATTAAAACTAGTCTGTGTCAGAGTCACTGTCACAAAGCTTGCCAATCGCAGAATACAACAGCCAAAATGTTGTTTTTTTTATTCACAGGGGAAATGAAACTTTAAATGTCTGACAAAATGGATCCTGTCCTGCACTTAGTTCCCTATTACATAAAATACTGGGACAGTGATCAGTCATTTTGTCTGATGGTGAACTTGTTATCAGTGCTCCTTATCACTCTTGTCTGAGCTCGCTTTCCATTGCCCTCCTTTCCTCAGTTAAACGAATGAGGATCTTGCAATTTATTTGATTTATTTTAGTTGTTGTTAGTAGAATTCAGGTTTCTGCAGATTTCGATGGGCTGCTCTGCGAGTTTCCAGACGCTTTTGTTCACGTCAGCACTGTTGTAGGAAGCCCCTGCCAGATACAGTGACTTGCAAAAAAAAACAACAACAAAAAGAACCCAAGTCACGCCATGGAGATACGTGAGGGGATAAAAACTCGTTCGAATTTAAAAAAAAAAAAAAAAAAGGCCTGGAAAAAAAAAAATCATTTTTAATGCTGCTGTATTTCCCGGGAGACCACACCTAGAAGTGTTCAATCCAGTGGCTAAACCATTTGTTTTTTCCCCCTAAACTCACATAATCTCTACATGTATTAAATGTCATCACAGCCTTTTTTTTATTTCTAGGTGTTATTTGCAGCTTTCGCACGAATCAACGATATCAAAGCTCTCACCTGCCAGTCAGACTTCCTCTCTCCTCCCGGCTGGAATCACTCCACAGCTGCAGAGGTTTTGCCACCGTCGCACCGATTTGGCAGACTTACCGAGAGAATCCTGCGTGTTTGCGCACCGGTTAGATCATCCATGACTTTTGGACGTGCAGAGCAAACAGAGAGAGAGGGACTGACGGGACTCACGACACCGGTGAACCCACCTCCTGCAGCCGAACCGCGGAAGTGATCGTGTGAAACTTAAAGCCCTGCAGAATGTTTTGGAGGAGGGGGAGTGTGTGGTGCTGCATAGCAATACTGAGGCTATTGTTGCTATTGTAGTGACCATTTTTTAAAACATAAATAGCAAAAGAAAAAAAAAAGAGATGTGCACAGAATAGATTTGGGTGTGAATATGAATTTGTAGTGAATGATCAAGTACACAGTTATCCATAAAAAGACTTTATGGTTCAGATTAGAATGAAGGTTTGGTGTCAAAGGTGAAGATCTGCAGGGCATAGATTAGTGTTTATAGTAGTAAATGTATTCCCAGCAAGTTTTATTTATGTATTCATGCTTTTTTTTTTTTTGCTCCAACAACATTCTGTTAAATGTTTTCATCCGCATCTGTTCTTGACAGGTAACTAAATAACTAAAGGTGCTCTACATTGCATTGAGGACCTCCTCTCTTTGTTATCATTGTGCAAACACGTTGCAGAAAAATGTTCTGTACAGCGTTCCTTCAACAACAAAGCAAAATGTTCTACCTTTAATATGTCACATTACAGGAACATTCTCCAAAAAAAGGACATTCAGTCATCTGAGGCCTAGTTTTTTGGGGTTTTTTTAGATGTTGGTTTGAGAAAGGTTTTTGCTTTCTTAGAATGGAATGTTCTCTGTTATGTTGATATTTAGCATTATATTAACTTTATTGGAACTATATACTATTTAAACTATTCCTTTGAACATTTAATTAAAACCTTGCCTTTAAAAATAAAATAGAACTTGTAAGTAATGTTATCCAGTGTTGTGGGAACGTTCCCGGTCAGCTGGGAGGCTTGTGTTGCTGTCTTGTGAGGACCCGTTTTAAACTCTGATGAGGTCATTGCTATCTGTGGGGACATTGTGGCTTGGTTGGTCTGTTGAAAGGTTAAGATTGGGTACCAAGGTTGAGGTGAGAATGAGGTTTAGGCTACAGCTGGGGTAGCTATGTAGCTGTGATGGTTAAGGTTAGGGGTCAGGAAATGCATCATTATCAATTATGGTGTGTGTGTGTGTGTGTGTGTGTGTGTGTGTGTGTGTGTGTGCGCATGGGCGTAGAAGATACCAGCCTATAGGACTCACCAGAGCTGAGCCGCCCCTGTCAGAGCTGAGCGTCAGCACATGGTGCTGGCCGGTCATTGACCCTGTTATCCCAGACTCTGCTGGCAGCTTTGGTGTCAGTTGTGTCTCAAAGACGCCCCAGAATGTAACAGAATGTATTTAATGCTCAGCATTCTGAGAATGCATGAGCCCTCTGGACACATGAAGCGTCAAACTGTATTTCATGCATTAGCAGTCCTGATCCACCAGGGAGCAGTGTTGACACACGAGTAGGACACAAAGTGTATCTGGCAGAAAACCAAAGCTCAACTCTCTCTTGATTTTTTATTTTTTTTTAAATTTATTGTCTTTTTCTGAAAAATCTACAATACACAAATGTATTTAAAAAACATATCAGATATCACAAACACATCACAAAAGAGAACACAAAGAACAGAGATATACTGTATGTGCACATCAGTATAAATAGAAGATAAATATACATTTCACGTCGAAATTTGTTGAAGGTGCCTTTGTTGGGGGGGTCAGAGGTCAGATGAGGTTCATGTTCGGCCAGAGCGCTGAAGAGTCAGTTAGTTGCGAGCTGTGCTGGTGCTGCCAACAGTGGAAGTCAGCCCAGTTGGTTTGGCTGCAGCGACTTTTTGCTTCCTGTTGGAAATAACAGTAAAACAAGTACTCATTAGACACATTACAACAGCATCTAAAAGGCATTATTATTCACTAGTTTATGTCCATCTACAGGGATTCATTCAAACATTAATATCGATAATTAGATGGTCGGTGTATTTAAGATGAGGCTAATAATACTTACATGATGCTGTCCATGAGTCTCCTCACTGCTTTCTGATTGGGGTTCAGGCAGTAGCGATAGCCGTTGATGTTGGTGACACTGCAGAAATAGATAAAAGAGACGAGTTTAATTTAAAACAGATGCATATAGCCTGAGGCAGTGATTTTCAGAGATTATGTGGCTTAAAAAAGCATATAAGTGTTTATTGCTATGTTAATTTACTAGTTAATTACACTGACTTTAAGAAATTTTGCAGTGTCCTCTAAGGTATTATGAATGTCGTGGTTTATTTGAGCTATAGCAAGTTTAAATATCAATCGAATATGTCAGACAGAGGATTTCCAAAACAACTCCTCAAATTTCTTAATTCTGAAAACTCATAACTTACACAATCTCGACTCTAGAACAGAAGATGGTAGCTTGGTAGATCTGGATGTCCTTTATGGCAGACTTTGAAATGATGCCGTTCCTGACACGGTGACACAGACACTGCTGTCCTTGCTCACTGACTGAAAAGAAAAACAAAGAAAAAAGATTAATCTTTTGAGCAATTCAAGCTGACATTAATAAAAATCTCACATTATTTGTGAGTCCCAGATGATAAAAGTGGAATAAAAAAAACTTACGTTGAGCTTCGGAGATGCAGAACATGACAGCAAGGAGCAGAAACACCTTCATGATGCCGGACATTGTTGGTTTCCTCTTTGGTCAAGTTGACTCTGGTGCTGAAAAAGTGTGGTGAGGATGATGGCAGAGCCAGAGAGGTTAGCAGGAGCTGAGGGAGGCTTGCTGACAGGAGAACTGTGACTTGGAGAGGTTGACGGTCGCCTAAATACTCTCCACGGCCGCATGTGTCATCTTTCCGGTGATGAAGGGAATTTTTTGACAAGGGAAAGTGAAACTTGTAAAACCACAAGATTGAAAAACTCCCCCCCATTCCACTCTCCATCAAGTCTGGTGACAGGACTAATATAATTCTATCTTAAGAAATACATTAAAAAGTGTACATGTAAGAAAAACAGTAAAAATAAAGCTGTGTAACCTATTAGAACTTTAAAACTGCATGTACACATACTATTTAAGCTCACAGTTTTTGTAAATAGTCAATCCACACATGAACTACTGTTTGTGAACATAATTTTATTATTTTGGATTCATAAAGAACAAAGATCCAAACTAACAGATCCTAGAAAGCAAATTATCTTTGTTGGGGTCACTTTTTCCCATTTGGACATATTTGCAGTATAAGTAAAATCAAGTGATATAGTAATATAGTTATATAGTATATTTAAAACAACAGCCATTGCACCAATGTGCTTTTGAGTAAAAACAAAATAAAATAAAAAATCATTATTGTTTTTTATTATAAATGAACCCATCAAGTCTTGGAGTTTGGGGTTAAGAACCTATAGTTTTATTTGTGGTATAAATATTACCTGAGTAATATCCAAATTAGGGGTTGAAACTCTATAAAAATGATATAAAATACTACTACTTCACCTGACTATTATATATATATATATATATCTGCAATTTTACAGTGGCATTAATTATGGAGAATAACACTCTAATCTAATAATACAGCTCAGATCATACAGTAATATAAGCTACAGCCCTTAACCTAAATAATATAAATATGAAATCTAAGTCCCTCCAGCTTTAGCAACTATGGAGATAAACCTGCTTCATTAAGAGTTAAAGCTTTGACCCAACCAAAATGTACATGACAACTTTTAAGGTGGCAAACTCAAACATTTCCATTCAGACATGTAAATTGAAGTCACTATGCATCACCATCTTGCATATACAGAGCTACAAACTGGGTCTCTTTGGTGGCAGTCCTACTCAAAATCACAAACCCGAACAACAACAACAACAACAACAACAACAACAACAACAACAACAACAACAACAACAACAAAAACAATAGGTAGGTGCAGAACACGATATGACAAACTGCTGCTTTTTTCTCTCAGTAGACATTATTCCTTTTTCATTTTCATTTATGGTGATTATTACTTGTGACCCATTTTCCGATTACCAACTGTCCGACGATGCCTCGTGAGAGAAAAATGGTTGGATTTCTGGGAAACACAACTGCAATAAGCAGTAACTGCAATTACTGCTTGTGGCCACATGTGGCGACAAAGGGAACAAAACACAGAAGATGGAAAGTGAGGTAAGGAAAATAAAAGTAGAATTAAAGTCTTCCTCTTAAACTGTGTTGGGTTAATTGGTTGTAGTGGAAATTGAGATATTTAATCCTGAAAATAGTGGAAGATTACATTTTGCATTTTGTAGACATGCCGTCTGCGTAAAATCTGACCGAGCTGATAATGCTTGAAAAATATTAGCATTTTTTTTAAAAACTCAAACTGCTGAGTTCTGAGAATGTGTTGTTCAGATAAGATATTCCAGGTGGCAGACAAGCATTCACTGTCTGACTGGTTTCAGTCGACCACAAGCACACAAACAGAGATGCACAGCTGCGCAAAAGCTTGATATAAGTTGCTGATCTGTACCGTTTGCTCTAATGTAATACGGTGGAATTCAGCAGCAGTTGATGGAAATGTTCCTTTGTAGCAGACTTTTATTCAAGAATAAAACAAAAGGAGAGTTTTCTGCAGGACAACTGAGTAAATACAAGAGTTTCTGATCCCTTCTCACTCAGACTGAACATCACATACAACAGCCTAAAGAGACAAAAGGTATCTCTGTTGTTTGCTCTCTTTTTATTAAGGGGTGGGGGTTATAACATTGTGCCACACAATTATGTTAAACAATCAGGCAAAGACACAACTGAATATAGGTCTCAATAATAATAAAATGCAGTGAAAAAAGAGAACATTAATAAGTTTGAGTTTTGTTGAATCATATTGTTGTATCCCTTGTACAACATTCAGGAAAATAAAATCGATAATTAATAATAAAATTGTATGTCAGTACATTGAGTGTCGTTCTTATATCTCTAATGGATTTTTTTATTTTATTTTAAATTGCTGATATTAGATGAGATATCTGTGAACTATTTTGTAATGTCAGCATAAAGTGTGGGCTTGTGATCTTTGCATCGTGACTTTCGCATGTATTTATGTGCAGATGTGGTTAACACCTTTAGCATTTGCAGGCCCAAATCAAA